TCCTCCTCCCCTCTTTCCCTTTTCCTCCTCCTCCTCCTCCCCTCTTTCCCTTTTCCTCCTCCTCCCTCCTCTTTCCCTTTTTCCTCTTCCTCCTCCTCCTCACCTTGCCATCCAGGTTGGCGATGCTGCAGTTGCACTCCGTGGCCCCGTAGAACTCCCCGATCTGCTTAATTCGGAAGCGCTTGGTGAACTCCTCCCAGATGGTGGGTCTCAGCCCGTTGCCCACCGCCAGCCGCACGCGGTGCTGGGTCTCCGCCTCTCGCACCGGCTGGTTCAGAAGGTACCTGCAGATTTCCCCGATATACTGAATAATCTGAAGCAGTAAACACAAAAACACAGCTCAGAGCTTCAGGCGACGCTTCCGACACCCCGGAAAAAAACCGACCACGAGGCCCCCGACGTCATCGCGTACCTCGTGGCACTAAACATCAGGCATTTTAATAAACCCAGAGGTTTGGGCAAGTTTAAGTTGGGTTTTCTCCCCCCAAGACAAAAAAAAATAGGCAAAGGTAAATCAGGGCCCCCTGGAACCCACCAAAAATGAGCACAGGAGGGATCCCTCAGTGGAAATGAAGATAATTTGGATAAAGAACAAACCCTCGTGCTTTAAAAGAGCTCAGGAAAGATTTAGGGTGAATCAAACTACCAGCTTGACTGAGCAAAACACCATCAGAGCAGAAAAAATAGGCAAAAGGTAAATCAGCCCCCCCTGGAACCCACCAAAAATGAGCACAGGAGGGATCCCTCAGTGGGAATGAAGATAATTTGTATAAAGAACAAACCCTCGTGCTTTAAAAGAGCTCGGGAAAGATTTGGGGTGAATCAAACTACCAGCTTGACCGAGCAAAACACCATCAGAGCAGAAAAAATAGGCAAATTGTAAATCAAGGCCCCCTGGAACCCACCAAAAATGAGCACAGGAAGGATCCCTCAGTGGAAATGAAGATATTTGGACAAAGAACAAACCCTTGTGCTTTAAAAGAGCTCGGGAAAGATTTGGGGTGAATCAAACTACCAGCTTGACCGAGCAAAACACCATCAGAGCAGAAAAAATAGGCAAAAGGTAAATCAGCCCCCCCTGGAACCCACCAAAAATGAGCACAGGAGGGATCCCTCAGTGGAAATGAAGATAATTTGGATAAAGAACAAACCCTCTTGCTTTAAAAGAGCTCGGGGAAGATTTGGGGTGAATCATAAACTACCAGCTTGACCGAGCAAAACACCATCAGAGCAGAAAAAAATAGGCAAAAGGTAAATCAGCCCCCCCCTGGAACCCACCAAAAATGAGCACAGGAGGGATCCCTCAGTGGAAATGAAGATAATTTGTATAAAGAACAAACCCTCGTGCTTTAAAAGAGCTCGGGAAAGATTTGGGGTGAATCAAACTACCAGCTTGACCGAGCAAAACACCATCAGAGCAGAAAAAATAGGCAAAAGGTAAATCAGCCCCCCCTGGAACCCACCAAAAATGAGCACAGGAAGGATCCCTCAGTG